TTATCTCATAGTTTTTCCTTGTCCACCATTTCAGGAAATGAAACCGAGGACGGGAAAACCACGGGAAGTGACGAGTTAGAAGGCTAGCCATATTGTAATTGGATATAAATTTTAGATATGAATCATGATCTTATATTTGGAGATATTATTGGAGACTTATGATATCAGAGTAAATTATGAAATTTGATCTTCAGATTTTGGTGGTATCAGAGTGTGATGTGATAAGTTCTGAGCCTTGTGCATTTGTGGGACCCATCTCACGAGTGCACGGCGTCTGCCACGTTCCCGGGTTTGGGTTCTGGGGCGTGACAGGAGTCATGCACGGCGGTGACTCTAACCCGGCATCCAGTGAAGACGATGATGACGTGGCACTGAAGGACAGCCAGGCAGTGGGGAAGTCAACTATGGTGAGGATTTCGAAGGACCTTTCAGACTGGAACAGTGCAAATAATAAATTCAACTAGCAAGAAAGGACGGCTATTTGTTCCCAAGAAAGGCATGAGGAGGGATGTTCAATAGACGCAGTTGGTGATAGCCTGACACCGCCGAAAAATTCAAATGATTACAAAAATTTGAATGGAGAAGATGGTAAGCAAGTGGTAGATGGAACGAAGCAACCCTCTGAACACTCCAGTAGTAGTCCCGGATGGACTATTGAGAAAAATAATGGGCCAATTTTGGTAGCCCAACAAAACTCCACCAATTTGCAAGAATTTAACAATATTGGGCCTGACGTCAATGTTAACTATGATGGGCTTAGCAAATCAACACCTGGTTGTAGCAAATCCATTCCAAAGCAGTCAACCGCTGTAGTTTCATCACTCAATAGCCTAGCGAATCTGGAAAATAATTCCAAGAGTAAGGCTGATCTTGAGCAGCGAATGGAAGAGGACTCAGGTGACGATGATGAAATAAACTCTTTCTAGTATGGATTAGCTAGTGATTCTGAGATAATTAAAGAAAGAACAAGCCGAGATGCAAGGAAGAAACAGAGAAAGAAGAAGAAGAGTAAGAAGATCAGATCGTGCCAAGCGGTGTACAAGGATTCCAATCCAGAAATGGCTATTGGGGTTCAGAAGATGGGTCGTGGACGGTCAAGTTTATTAAAGGAATTGGGAGAAAAAGTCCCTGAATTCTACCCAAAAGACACCAACTCTGTAGCGGGGGCATCAATTACAGATAGTACTATTGAAAACTGCAAAAGAGGGTTCCACAATAAGGATAGAGTCACTTCAGCTCTAGATGCGTGGAATCTCATCAAGGATATGGGCTTCGCTGCTGATGGGAATGAAGATGAAATCATCAAGAAGATTGAGTTGATAGAGCAGAGGGACATTAATGCTAAAAAACAAGCACTGGAAAGCAATACGGTGAACGGTGGTGAGGTACGTATATTTCATCCATGATTATTCTCTCTTATAATGTGCGAGGCTTGGGTGGTTCGGACAAGAAAAGAGAAGTAAAGGAATGGGTAATAAAGGAAAAAGTGCAGTTTCTAGCTTTGCAGGAGTCAAAATTAGAACAAGTTAGTCAACAAACTTGTAGAGCTTTATGGGGTACAGATGACTTTGAATTTGCTGCTATGCCTTCTATTGGTCGTTCGGGTGGATTGATTTGTGTTTGGGATAACAATATTTTCCAGCTGAATAGAATTTTTAGCGGAGAACACTACTTGGGTTTGTTTGGTTTATGGGGAACAAACAGGACACCAGTGCACCTTATAAATGTCTATGGCCCTTGTGATTTGGTAGGAAGGAAACAGTTGTGGACTGAGCTAAAAACTCTAATTACAAGTATGAAAGGTAACTGGTGTGTGATGGGAGATTTTAACACCACAAAGAATAGTCAAGAAAGAATTGGACACACTAGTGTGTCAAGAAGCATGTGGGATTTTGCAAACTTCATTCATGAATCTGGCTTGGTGGATATCCCTTTAATTGGAAGAAAGTACACATGGTACCACTCAAGCAACAACTCTATGAGTCGATTAGATCGATTCTTGATGACAGAGGAATGGTTAACAAACTGGAGTGAAACAAGGCAGTGGGGTTTGAGGAGATCACTCTCCGATCATTGTCCAGTGTTGTTGAGAGATTCAAAGATTAATTGGGGCCCTAAGCCCTTTAAATGCTTCAATAG